GAAAATTGAATACATTTATTTTTCACTGATCAAAATTTTTTAATATGAATTCATTTTGATTAAATGTGTAATTGATGATGATATATCATACAATTACCACTAATATCAATGATACTATGCTATACGCAATTTCATCTTTCATTATTTTCCAAAATCATATGGAAACATTTCATTTGACGATGGGCAATGAATCATCGACCTATTAAATAAAAATCTGTGAGTTTAATTCCACTCAACTCAGAAAAGTTCCTCTCCCCTCTTTTTCTCTCTTTCTCTTCTTTCTCTCTTTCTTTTCTATCAACTTTCGAAATCATTGTAGGGCATTGCTCCAGAATTATACATTAATGTTTCTTTTTATTTGACCCATTTCATTTTCATTTAGATCATTTCCAACAACAGATTATTCATAATAATTGGCTTATGAAGTCTATAAATTTTCTGGAAGCTGTATAATTTGTCCAAGAGCCAAGAACTATATTAATCAGTTCCAAATAATGGGATAAATGACCTATTTAATAGATTACTTGAATAAGTGCTAATGTTAAATTCAAAATAGTACGATAGGAAAGAAGCTTAAAAGAGAATTGAAGATGAAAATGAGAAATTTCAGAAATTACCAATACTAAAAATTTAATTTTTGTTAATTAATGCCTTTTTAGATGGAATTTATTTCATTAATATACGTCAATTAATATATACAATTTAATTCTGAATATATTTCAATCGCCAAAGAGGAAAGCATTTGATTAATTCCTATTTACTATATTTGTTTAATTAAATGGTTAATTAATGGCACGAATATAAATATACCGCTTATCATTTGATTTTGAAAGCTTCCTAAAAAGTTATTGCTCAGTATGTGGATTTTTAGGTTATGAAAATTTGTAGGAATATCTTTTTGTAAAAAAAATCTTAAATGGTATGAATTACTGAAGGAATGATAAAGAAGAATATTTTGGGAGATTGATTTAGCTTAAATATATCATCAAAAATTAGATATAAAATTAAAATATTTTAGTACGGATATAGAATAAAAAGTTTAATTTTTAATTCGATGATTCACCGGCATCACTATATTTTATAATTGAATTTAAATAATAATAAATGCCAAAAAATTAGCATCTATCATTGATAAATGTAAATCATGCTACATTACATTTAAAATTCATCAAATATTCCACAAATGATCATTATTTATTAGTGTCATTTTGAACGTCAGGTGCTTTTTATAAATTCAGATAATGTCAACAGGTACAACAGAAGAAGCAGGGTTGGTAATTCTTGATGAAACATGAATTGTAAATCAAAATATTTAAAATATGTTAATACTTTTTTGAAAATTGAATTTTCTCTTAACGATATTAAAAGTTACAAGTGATATTATGATTATTTTGCTCTTATATGACAGCAAAAAAAGTAACTCAAAATAGCAAATTACGAAGTAAAAATAAAAAATAAATTTTTTAATAGAAAGAATTTGAAAGAGAATTTATTACATTATCAATTGTTTAATTTGAATTTCAAAAATATTTTTGTAAATTATAAAAATGAAAATTTAACATTTGTATGAGTAAATGTAATATTAGAATAATAGATTTTTCAGTGGGAAAATAATGCATGATTTTAATCTTTGAATTTCAAAAAATTACAGTAAACTTTTTTTTTGTGTGGAATAAAATTTACAAATATTTAGGAATAAACAATTGATTAATATGGATATTGAAGAAATCGCTCGAATTGATGCTGCAACAAAAGCAAAAAATGTTATCAAAAATAAAGGATACGATGATATCCTTATTTCAGAGTATTATTATATTCCATTCATTATCATTTCAAAATCACTTGATTAAAATTTCCACTATAATTTCCAAAAATATTAATATAAAATAATTTAAAAAAAAATTTTTTTCAGAAGTAAATCGATTAGTGGCAGTAGGGTAAGTTAACTGTCTGAAAATATTCCATTTCAATTCAATCGTACTTGATATTTTATTTTATATGACATTTTGTGGAACANAAAAAAAAAAAAAATTGGAGCGTACAAAATTATGCTACGTATTGATTCGAAATGCATGTCCATTTTCTCTCTGATCACAATCGATTTCACAGCTAATTTAATTATTACATTTTTTTTTCTCCCTTTCAGTTTTACAAGAAATGAAATTAGCATTTTTTTTAGAAAGAAATTAGCCAGAAAAAAGATAACGCTGAAATGCAAATGGAAGAGAAGCTACAACAACAGCACCAGAGGAAAATTGACACATTAATGGAGGAATTGCCATTGAAGGTGAAAAACAAGAGAAGCTTAGGTTAATTTTAAAAATTTTTCAATTACAAAATTAAATCTAATTTTATTTCATCGTTATTTGTTCATTTCATTTATTTTTGCTAGTCATTATGCAAATTTCTTCTTTCAATTCTAATCAATTTTTTTTTTTTTTTTGGTTTCATTATTATTTTCCATTCGATAATGTATTTTGTAAAAGTTTCAGATCAGTTAGTTGAAAGAAAGCCAAAGAAGATTAGAGCGCCAGAACATGAAATGACGCCACAACGTAAGATTAATTAATTGATGCTATTGCTTAGAATTTTTTTTAATAGAGTGATAATGGTGCTAATATTAAGCATTAAATTGAAAATACACACCAACAGATAATATTTATTAGTCGTCTTTTCTGCAAAATTCATTTGTTACATTTTAAATATATCCGTTATTTTTTTTATCAAATTTTTAAACTTTTTAACTGAACATTCTTGTATTTATTTTAAATTTTTTTAAAAAGGCATTTTTTATTATGAAAAATTATTAAAAATTATTAATGAAACGATGAAAATGAGTGATCAAGGAAGACTTATTTTTCATTATTTCTTATCTTATAATTCGTTAAAAAAAATTCGATAACGTAAATTTTTATTTGAATTCTAATTTTACTGTCAATCACAAATTATTTTTACTAAAATAATTGTTGAAAGATTTTTTTCTTTTAGAAAATTTTTGTGATAATAATTATTATTTTTGTATTTTATATAAAAAACAAAGCAAGAAATTTGAATAAAGAAAATTGAATGATTTTTTTTTTGCTATTTAGTTTAGAATTTAATACCGGTTCAATTTCATTCCTTCCATTCTCATAGCAAACATGAAATGATTGGTGGAATGTGTTCCTCCTAACATTGAAATAACTCAAAGTTTATAGAAGTCACTGTTAATTTTCATTTCTCTTATTGAAAGCGTGGGCGTAAGTTGTAAGTACATTTGGTAAAATTCTCACATATTAACAAATAATTGAAGTAAAATGTTTCAATAGGTACAAGATCGAAGGAGCAAAACAAGAAAAAAAAAGGATGCTGTGATTGCTGTTCCATTTCATGAAGTATTATTTCATTTTATCAATAAATAAGTTCAAATTTTAATCACTCCAACATGAACTAATTACAACTAATTTGTAAAAATTTATGCATTTTACAAATTTAATAGTAAATTATTTAAATTAGGAATAGTGGTATTCAAAGGAGAGATTTTTGAATGAGATTAATCAAATATATTTCATTGTTCTACATAAAAATCAATACATATTGCATGCAAATGCCTGCACCATTAATGTTAATGTTCATGCATTTCAACGCATGCATTATGCATTATTTGCATGACAAATTAATTGGAATGAACGCAATTCAGCACAAACTGTATGACCAACTAACTGCAATGAATGCACATAAACTGCATGACAAACTAACTGCAGCGAATGCAATTCTGCATAAACTGCATGACAAATTAATTGCAATGAATGCAATTGTGATTGAATAAAGTTTCGTAATGAAAGAATAAAAATTAGCACCGTTATTGTATTGTACTGTTCATTTGTACCGTTTATTTTTTTTTTTTTTTGCAGAATTAGTTAAAATGTTGCTTATTACGGTTAACAAAATGTAAAATTTAAAAATCATCTTTACATATTATTTTGCATGGAAGAAATGATGTACATATTGCATAATATTATGGTAAATTTGTTGACCCATAGTTTTATGATTTATAATTTTAATTTAGCATTAATGTGATGAAATACACAAAACTGAGAAAGTTTAATAAAAGCAAGAAATAATTTTAAAGAAATAATTTTCATTTAAAAGATGAATTTAAATTATTCGAAAGTCTGATGAATTGAATAAAAAGATGATAGGTCATAAAGGTTAGCACCAAACGTAAGAGAACAAAAAAAAAGAAAAAAAAGATAGCAGAATATTTGTTCAAATTTGATTCCTGAAAACTCAAAAAATCACTTATCAAACAACATAAAACGATGAGACATTAAATATAATGAATACGGAAAAGGATAAGACAGATATTTCTTAACGATTTTCAAATGCATTAGCGTTTGGTAATTATTAGCAATAACTTAAACCTTTATTTTGAACTATTTAAAAAAGAAAAACTTTGCAGAATGATCAACCTGATTGAATAATGCGGCATAAGCCGGGCTCTAAAGTACATGTGAATTCCGTTTGCCTTGCAAAATAAATACCATCAGAGTTGCCGAATATTAGAAAACGTCGGACAAATTTTTCATCACTCCTCCATGGCGCGGAAAGCTGATTCCCATCAACACTTGTCACTAGCTGAAATGTTTATCGTACCATTCAAAATTCTTACAAGTGATAAAAATTTAATTTTTCAGGTAACTTAAAGGTTGTCCACTTGTAAAAAAAAACATGGTTTTCTAATTTATCTAATATTTTATTTAATAAAAAAAGCTAATTTATCTAATAAAGGCTTGGTTAAAGACTGTAGAGAAAGCCACTGTAATGAACTAACAAACAAGCTATTCATTTTTCTCGAGAAACACATGAATTACTAATTAGATCTTGGAATACTGTCCATGCAGATTTACCCAACTGCAAATATCACAGCAGATATAGCTTATTATCAGGATAAAAATATTACGAAATTAAACAGCCTAAATATCGCATATTCAATGGCAAAAAATGGTCAAATATGGACAACTGCTTAACATTTCCATAAATCAGTACATCTTAAACTCACAACATTCTCATCTGTCTAAAAAACGGTATACTCCGTCAGCTTAAAAAGTTCACAGCAACATTTTGATCTTTCAAATTACCAGGAGAATAAAACAATTTAATGTTTCTAGAGTTAGATTTATCTGTCTAATTATGCGAATGCTAGTTCGTTACATAACTGTGCAAAAAAAAGTCGTTTGCGCAGGAATCAGAGAGACCGAATGAAACAGCTTTAGGTCTCCAAAATACTGAAAGTTAGGAATTCACTACTTTCCCAAATATCTTTATAACAACAGCTACATCAAATTTTGATGTAGAAGCACTAATTTGATAATAAATAATAAATAATTTGTTATTAAAATGTAATTTGACCTGACTTTGTTGTTGCTCTAAATTGCGCACAGCGTATGCAATACTCAAACGATATCGCAGATCATCCGGATGACTGGATGAAAGATACTCCGCTATATTCATCACGGACTGCTTTTAAAAACAATGGTATTTCAGCTATCGAGATTTCTCCTTAACACTAACTAAAATAGCATTTGTATAGTAATGACAAACCGATACTGTACTACTATTTAAGGAGCTGAACTAAAAAATTTTACACAGTAATTAGAAGCTTGTAAGTTGGAATGGAAGGCATACGCAGACCTATCTAATGCTCACTAGTTCCTTTATATCAAAAAACTTGTAGGACATTTACCGCCAGATCTACTTTTTATTGCATTTTGAAGATCACTGATAGGTACGTGCATAAATTTATTGCAAGAAACGCGTGTTTATCTCTTTTTTCTCAAAAAAGATTCCAACTCTTTGCACGACACATTGTGCAAAAATTAATAATTAACATTTAATACCTGATAAAATTAGTTACTGAGATAAGTAGGAATAATCAATTCATTGTAAGCTGAATTTTGGATACAGATAATAATATATCAGTTATGATTATCTTTGCAAAATTTAAAGCAAACTTAACTTTTCTACAGTGCAATAATGCACTTAATACATTCCCATAATTAGCAGTGGTCAATAAAAAATTTGCTTTTTTGTGTAAATTTATTTAAGACTGATAAATTGATTAACTGTGCAAGAACTGAGTCCACATTCTTACATCTAATTCCAATTGTAACTGATAACACTAAAATATTTTAAACCGATTCAAATAGTAATCATTGATATCTTACAATATGAATATGTTTAATTTTAAGTACATTAACATTAAGCATAAGGTACTCAAGCACCTTCCTGAGTTCAATAGTTATTTAAAGCAGGGTAGGATAAAAAAGTAACATTTTGGTAAATGTCCGAATTTTATCGCCCGCTGGAAATTATCAGTGAGATTTCCGGCAATGAAGTAACTCAAAAATGTTGTTGGAAATATGATCGATAATGCAAAAAGTAGTTGATAAATACATGAGGCAAGTTTTTTATACTTAAGACCTCTAAAAAATTTTGAAGGGAAGTTTTTAATATTTCTCAAAAATTTAGTAAGATATGTGGAAAAAATTAGGCTGACTGTGTGCATTTTAATAAATTTTTTGTAATGAATAAGAGCTCACAGTTAGTTATGTAAAAGTCAATTCGATAAAATTTAGTATGTTTTAATTTTTCTAACTGTATCTTAATAATTGCTAAAAAGTTTAAAACTTTTCTTTTAAATAAATATATAAGGGGATTTTTTATTAGTCCTTGCTTTCATGCTAAATTTTATCGAATTAAGAACAACACAATGACCTCCACTCAGCGTCGCTTTAGTATTCTCTGTGTATCATCTTTGACTTTTCATAAACTTTATTGTTAGCCTCATTAGCCGACGATTAACCGAGCATTTAATGATTTTTCGCTTCTTCTTTCAATTTACTAGAAATATGTCTTTTCTGATTTCTATACACTACCAATTTTCTTTTCAAATTATAAAAGAAAATCCAAAATCTCAGTTTGCTCAAAGCTTACCATAAGCGAATGTTATATCAATTATGTATTGTAGTTCATAACAGTTCTCTGATGAATGAGAATAATTGCAGTAGAAGTCGTTTGATGAAGTAACGAAGATTTAAAATTCTATGTCGAAAAGAGTTCGACGAGTATGCGAATACATGGAAATGGTAAAGGACGAGTTAAAAGACTTCATCATTCTGAAATTGTACAGTATTTAATCATTAATTGCTTCTTTCTTTTCGGATATTCTCAGATAGCATCGCTGATTGTATACAGTTAAAGGAAATAATTTTTTTAGCACAGTGAATAGCAGTCAGATGACGTATTCCAGAAATGTGGAACCATACATTAGCATGTTTTATTAATATTACTAAATTGAATTTCAGAAAACATCCGAAAGACGTGAAAATGTGTCAGATAAAGTTGAAGGTTATATGATAGTCTATAATATACTTACATTGCATGAATATGCCAGTAAAAAAGTTGAAGTTATAAAGATGATATTGATGAAAGGATGAAAGAATATTCAATAAATGCCGTAAAATTCAAAATTGTAATAACTCAGAACAACACATCAAACAGTAATAGTTCAGTACTCGTAAAATGATATTATATATTGGAACATTTCCTTTAGGCAATACATGTAATCTGATATTTCAGTTTCTTTTAAATTTCATCAATTTTGAAATGGTATCAATATTTCTAGAGTAGTAGCAATAAATGGTAGATGAATTTTAACGACATAAATTAAGTATAAAGGTTTTCTACTGATTGAATTTGAAAACGATTTCAATCAGTCAGGCTGTGTCAGAAAGGATAGTGAACAGAATTATCACAGTGTTTTCTATTTCCGGTATCAATATTAATTATTTTTCATATTTTTTAAAAGTTATTTTTTTCATATTTTTTTAAAATTATTTTTCATATTTTTTAAAAGAATAGCCAGAAAAAATTTTGCGTTAAAAATGTAATCATCAAAAATATTATGAACACATTTTGCACTACGAAATTGATAATAAAAAAAAAAAAATGTTTCATATGAGAAGCGCTTAATGAATATCCTCATCACCTATTTATTACAAGTTGGTTAATGACCTTTGGCATTTAATACAACAGCATTAATGATTGATAGTAATTCAAGCAGCGTACTGTGGCATCACAATAAGAGCAAGTGCTGCAAAGGACACTGAACAAAAGCATGACGTTCTGTACGTACCAATACTCGTCCGGCCATGATTGAATCAGGTTGCGCAAATACTACCTAAAATTATTAATACATTTATAAACAAAATTTCATCAAAAAATTAAAGACTTTTAAATTTACTTAAATGATCAATGAAGTTTTGAGCTTACCTGGTCACGATAAAGTCTCATTTTGGCCTCAGGTATATGAACGTTTTGTTTGAGCAACATTGGCTGCTCACCATGTTGTACCAGTGCAACACAAGTACTTGGAAATGACATCAGCCGATCTACTCGATCACCTGTCTATAAATCATATCACAGTTATTATAAAAAAATCTTTAAAGTGATTAGAAAACTTAAGTTTTGAAAAAATTACAAAAATCCTTAAATTCTGGAAAAAATTCATAAATATTTGTTGAAATAAAATGAAAACCTTAAAACCATAAAGCCAGTCAGGATCTCCGTTATCAACGACTTTCAATCGATCACCTAAACATAAGGCTGTATCAGGTCCAGCTACATATTCATGAATGACCACATGAGATCCTTGTAGAACTGCAAATGATGGACACCGTTAGAGTACCAAATTATAAAATTTGAAAGGAGAAATGATTAAAATAGAATTTTGCAAACATTATTTGAAAAATATACCATCTGAAGAGCTAATACGACGTGGAGTTAAGCGAGGAGATGGTCCTGACGATGATCGACTTCGTTCGCATTCTGATATGTCCCCGTAACTATTATTGTAATTTAACAGTGTCGGTGCTAATTTACCTCCTAAATATTATTGCAAAATTTGAATAATCAACTAAGAGAATAGAACGGTTGAGACAATATTTCATTTTTGCTTATCAAGCAAAACGAAAATCAAGCAAGGATAATTTTATGTATCGAGCAAGTAACGGATATCTTTCTTGCTTCTTTTTTTTTAAATCACAAGTTTAATCAAAAATAAGAAGTGTTTTGGAAAATTATAGATGACCTGTATGGTGCAACATGAAGAGTTACTCTTAATACTGCAAAAAGAAAGAGCAGATAAATAAAAATTAGAAATAATTGAGAATTGCTAAATTACACTCTCCCCGCTATAAGGTTTGCGGAAGCAAACAACAAAAAATGAATTCATGCTTGCAAAAATGAAGATGCGACATGCAAACATTTTGTTCCTTTACCTTCGATGGGTACTAACCGCAGTTCCTGACTAGGCGTAGAGATTGAACTTCTAATTCATATGGCTTCTTGCCGCAGATATTACTATGCTTATGGGATATTTGTGATCGCAACGCACCTACGATCATCTTTCAATATAATTTTAAAAAACTTTTTCAATTCAATCAGTAATTCCATTCCTAATTTACAAAAAAATTAAATAAAATTGAAATGCCCAAATTTTTCCGAAATTAAAATTTTTGTTATGTCGACATTTATTTTCAATAAAAATTTTGAGAAACAAGATGTTACTGTGATGTTTTCCTTATCAGCACTATTAAAATAGCGTAAATTTAGGATTTCGTTTAAACAAAATTTTCTTCATTTCCCACTAAATTTCACTTTAAAATAATCTTTTATGATTTTCGAGATTTTTGCTTTCAAATAAGTGATGCTGTCTTTGAACAGAATATTGCATTTGCATATGACGAATATGCTATATTAATATAACAAAAATTTTATTTGAATTATTTGAAGGGATTTTCTAAAATTTCTTTTAGACTTACTTGAATATACACCACTTGTAATGGAAGGTGGTGAGTCGGCACAGTCCAGTGATAATGATTTCATTTGTTTCTGCAACTTGGGCGGACGCCGCTTCCCTCCATTCATACCTATGAACAAATTTTGACTCCAACCGTAACCAGATTTTTGAAAAATTTTAGAGAATAATATTTTAAAGATATTTTTAAGAAGGACTGATCATAGACAACTTGTTGGCGATATATTGCATATTTCGGAATAATACATTAATGTTGCATGAAGAAATCGCTTTATTCGCAATCTCTTTTTATTCGAATGAATCCTTTTTTTTTCAGAAGCAACAGTTTCGGAAATTAATTGAATTAATCCTGATAATTTCGAATGAAATAAATATATTTTACTGGATACATTAATTCACTTATAGGAAAAATTTTTATTCGACCTGAATGCAATTTAGCTAAACGGAGGATTTGCAATTTAATGGGGAAATTTCGAGAATTTTTGCTGTTCTTTTCGAGAAATTTCGAGAATTTTTTATAGAAGAAATTAATCTTCAAAATTCAAAAATTTTTCCCATCAAAAATAAAGAGATGAAAATGTGTTGAGAAAATGTGGAATGAACTTATAACAAAATTAAGCAATCAATTATTAAA